TATGGAGCATACCTATACAACATAGACAACTTCAAGGAATAATTCTCAACACTCATATTTCTTTGCTTTAGATTAATGAACTACTCAACCTTAACCTCCCTCCTCTCAAGGGGATAGTACTTCTCTAAGAAAGAATTTTTTGAACTATTCTCACTTTATAGGACCCGACTCAACCGCCTATTATACTTCCATTGAGTGTACCACAATTGAGAAGTACCCATCAATTTGTATGAACCTTGCATGACCTTCTCCCTAGAAGTCACCCCCATGGCACGCAACACCTTGTACGCCCCATTAGGAAACTGTTCGGGATCATCCCACACCTAAGAGACTAAAAAGATAAAAAGATTCATTTTAACAAAGTCTCTCAATCTAGATGTCATATGGCTTTCCAACGCATTCACTCAAGGACCAACATCCCTTGTCATTGGAGAAGTCATGGCTTGGGCTAGGTTAGGTGATTACTTCCTATATTCTTCATTATTCATGTCGTGGGCACCACTGGAACCTCATTACCTTCGCCTACGATAGGATCTTGAAAACAATTAAGAAGTTAGTCAACTTGCTCAATTTGAGGAGGAATTTCCTCATTCACCCTTTCTTCTTCTGCCCTCCTTGCGGTAATTCTTCTATTATTAATCTCTCTATGACACAATGAAAAACATTAATAATGACTCTCATAAATATTTACTTTACAGCGCGACAAAAGAGTAGAAAAGTAGATAAACACTTCATCCTATAGCCTCTCTCTCATGTATGTGTCGCGACTCAATGAATGAACATGACTCTAACAGGCGTTACTTTTTGATAATTTTTAGTGCCTTCTATTACTTCATAAACTACGCTCTCATACCATGTTTTTCATGACCCGTAAGCACACCCTAGAAGTTACGGCATTCTCGAATTGTCACACAGCGTACTTGACCTCTTGAGTGTCTTGTACAAGCCCATAGACATCATTCATTACATACATGAATAAAAGGAAGCAGTAATTAAAATTTTTTAACACGAATAACATCTTAAAACATCATTAATATAAAATGATATAAAATAGTAATTCTCAACATACGTCATCTTAAGACTTACGAATACTTGGGACATGGCCCGTACAATACGAATATAGAAAACTTTGTTTGTTACCATACTTTTAATGAAAGAAGTCTAAATAAAGTAATATCCTCAACTCAAGTGAGGACATATCCAATTTTGGCATGAAAGACTCCTCATTTCCAAGCATTGCTTCAAGGCGCATCTAACCGCCCATGTTCAACTTTAGATATAGACATAATTAATGGAATTAGTACAATCTATTTACTAAATATGGCTCATTCACATGGATCATTCTGCCTTGAGTAAAACATTATATCATAAGTATAAAAAAACCATTGTCACCCATAAACACATATAAGCCACAAAATCAAGTAATTTCACACAATGACATTTAGTATAATATTTTCTTCCCAAAGTTATCCCAAGATTTACCTAGGTTAATATAGAAGAGGCCTCCCATACACCCTATCAAAGCATACCAAAATAATCCTTAAGACTAACTATGTTTAGGCCGCCCATTTATGATGACCATACATGTTGATGACACTATGTGATGTTTGTTTCCCTTCTGAGTATGTGTTTTGTCTCTATTTCTAAAGTATGGTGATATTAAATTTTAAAGATATATTATGTGAAGTTTGGCATTGCTTATGGTTCTTGTCGGATTTACTTGGTTAAGTGAGGTTATAGGAATTTACTTAGCTATTGCACTAGTGGATTTAATGAGGGTTCGTTAGTAATGGTCTTTCATTGGTTATGATGTTATGAACTCTTATGTATGATTTTTGACATTATAACTTTATGATAGAGTTGTCTTAATTATGTGTTGAATTATCTTTATCTGCATGTTCGAATTGACTAGAATTAGTATTGTTGGTCTTGTGATGAACATGGTCTTAACTTAATTAATATGTACTATTGACTTGTACTAAATCATGAATATGCATAAGGGTTTTACAAAGTTACTTTTCATGCTTGTTAATAATTTTCTCTTCCTTAGCATGATTTCTATGTTGTACATTCATATCTTCCTATACATCGTACAAGTTATCTGCTAACCCCATTTCTCCATTCATCCCATCATTTTGAAATTAGTCCGTTAAATGGTTCATGACGACTTTTGAAGGAAGACTTAGATATATATGTTGTACGTGCATATATATTATGCCCGATATTCTAAATGAATTTTCAATTGTAACTACCCGATAGGTGAGTTGGTGGTTTCAAAGAGGGTATATACAAATTGTCCTGTAATGTTGCCCAGTAGAGTTACTCTTGTTGAATAAGTATAACTTTATATTGTCGATTTGCATGTCTTTTTTGGGATTAATTGGTTGCATGATTGTTTTCCTTCCATTGATTGTAGAACAAAAATTGTCAAGTTCAATTTGCAAATGAATCCATTTAAGAGTTGAATGGGGGAAATTTTATTCGTAGAGGTTGCATTAGCTCTTGTTTTAAAGCTTGTAAAATGATCTCAAAAGTCTGTCTATATCATATTGTAAGATTCAAAAATTTAGACTTAAAAAATCCTCCCATTGACTTAGACCTTTTAGTAAGGGAATTCTTGAAGGTGTTTCCTAATGATCTTAATAGATTCCCTCCCGGAACAGGAAATTGATTTTGGTATTTACTTGCTACCAAATACAAATGCCATTTCATTTTCTCCTTAACATATGGCTCTGGACAAATTGAATGAGTTGAAGGTTCATCTCAAGGATATTCTAGACAAAGGATTCATTGGACCTATTATTTATCCATTGGGTGCTCGAGTCTTTTTAGTGAAAAAGAAGGATGAGTCCTTCAAAATGTGCATTGATTATCACCCAACCTATAAAATAAATATTAAAAACAAGTATCCTCTCTCTTAGACTGACTACTTGTTTGACCAACTTAAAGGGGCAAGTTACTTTTCTAAGATTGACTTGAGATTGTTGTATCACCAACATAGGGTGAGAGCTGAGGATGTACCAAAAATGGCATTCCGAACTAGATATGGTCTTCTTTAAGATTGATTTGAGATTGGTGCATCAGGAACTTCAGGTGAGAGGTGAGGACGTACCAAAAACAACATTTCGAACTAGATATGGTCACTATGAGTAGTTAGTAATGTCTTTTAATCTCACTAATTCCTTAGTAGGATTTATAGATCGCAGGAATAGGGAGTTTTGAAGCTACTAGATACATTTATCATTGTCTTCATTGATGAAATCTTGGTATATTCGAAAAATGAGTGTGAACACATGGACCATTTGAGGGTGGTGTTACAAGTACTTAAGGAACACCAACTATTTTGCAAGTATAGTAAATGCAACTTCTGGTTGAGTTTGGTGTGTTTATTGCTGGTATTATTTATAGTGAGGTAGTTGAGGTTGATTCAACGAAAATCAAGGCGGTAAGAATTTGCCTACGCCAATGACTCCGATACACATTAGGAGTTTCTAGGGTCTAGTGGTTAATATTAGAGGTTTGTTGATAATTTTGTGGCCATTGAATATCCATTGACTACTTTGACCCAAAAGAGTGTAAAATTTGAGTGGTCGGAGGCATGTGAAAAATTTCCAAATCTTCAAAGATAGTATTACTTCCTCTCCATCGTTGTCTTTACCATAAGGTACAAAGGGCTTCGTTGTATATTGGGATGCATCCAAGTAGGCATGGGTATGTGCCTATGCAATATGGGAAGGTAGTACCCTACACCTCTAGTCAACTTAATGTGCATGAGAAGAATTATCCAACTCATGATCTATAGGTAGCAGACGGGGTGTTTACATTGAAAATATGGAGGAATTATTTGTATACTGCCCATGTTTGTGTGTATACTGACCACAAGAGTCTTCAATATGTGTTTACTCATATGGAGTTGAATCTGCGACAAAGAAGGTGGTTGGAATTATTGAAAGAGATATGAGTTTTCTCCACCACCCGGAAAGCACAATGTGGTTAAAAATAATCTAATATGAACATGGGTAGCGTGTCTCATGTAGAAGAAGGAAAGACAGAGCTTGTCGAAGATCTTCATAGGTTCGATGGTTTGGGTATTAGATTGGAAGATTTCAGCAATGGTGGTTTCATAGTCCACCATAAATCCAAATAATTTTTGGTGGTCGACGTGAAGTCCTAGCAACACCTCAATCAACCATTGATGGAGTTGAAGCAGTAGGAGATTGGTAATCTTAATGAGTCATTATCCTTTGGTGGGATGGTGTCTTGAGGTATCAATGAAGGGTGTCACAATGTTTATGTCTTTAGAAAGTGGCTTCTTGAGGAAGCTCATGGGTCCCATTATTCAATTCATCCAAATTTGACAATGATTTATACTAATCATGGAGATTATTTTTGCGGGTGGCTTGAAAGGGGACATAGATGAATTTGTTCCCAAATGTCCAAAATGCCAAAAAGATAGAGCCGAACAATGAAAGCCGAATGGTTTTCTTCAAGAAATAAAAGATCTTACTTTGATATGGAAAGAAATTATATGTTACTTTTTGTTCAATGAAAACCTACCACAATATCCATATTAACATTTTCCCACTTCCAAGTAGGAACATGGGTTTATTGTTGCAAACTACCCATCTTTTGGTGCTGGACTTTCACTTGTTGGTAAATTAGACACTTTGCAATGAATTTTGGTAAGTGCTTCTTTATGTCTTCCCACCAAAAAACTTCTCTAAGGTAATGATACGTCTTTCTAAAGCCCAGATGTATGGAGTAACGGGACCCATGAGCTTCCTCAAGAATCTGGTTCATCAAGCCATGCACATTGGGAACACACAACCTTCCTTGATACAAGAGGACACCACACCCCGGAGGGAGAATGATTAATTAATCTTACTAATAACCGACTCCTTCAACTTTATAAATGGCTGATCAAGGTGTTATTTGGTGTAACAACCCAAAATGAACTAACGTGAACTAGAGCATCGTGGTTGTTTATTAAATTGATTTTATGTTAAAATGATTTATATTAGTGTTCTTAAGAAGTGTGTGAAGTTTGTTAAATTTGGAGTTCAAACGCCCAAGAACGTTCATGACGTTCGAAAGCTGTGACTTTAGAATGTACTTGTGTTGTCTTGATAAGTTTTTTTGAGTTTTAGATATTTTTTTGATTGAAAATGATTTGAGGTGACATACAAATTAGTTTCAGTGTGTTACATCCAGTCAGGACCCCACCTAGGACCCAAAAGGGTCCCTAGATAATGAGCCCAAGAATCGGACTTTACTGCGAAGAATACAACCCAAATGTCCTATCAATATACTAGACGTAGGCCATCGATGCCCCATTGACTGGGACAATCCTTCAATACTTGGTTGGAGATCTATCCCTCCCTTGAACAAGCCTCTAATGCTATCGACGCCCATAAGCACAGGTCGTCAACTCATCGACGCTTAGTAGCTTGGGTTGTCGATTGGCCAGTTCAAAAAGATGTGGAACTTGCTGCCAACTTGGGGTATTTTATGTATATGTGCTAAAGTATTTTTCAACCCAGGTCAGTATTTTTGTTTTTTTTAAGTTATATTAATTTATTTTTGAACCCTAGTCCTAGACAAGACCTTTCACTTCAAATATTCAAACACCCTCTCTAAAGAAAACTCTTCCAAAGTCACCATTGAAGCTAAGACTCTAGGAAAAAAAAAGAGATGGTTTTGACGTGTTCCTTCACCAAAATTTTTGGTTTTCCTTCTCTTTTAAGTATGGTATATCTCCTTTAACCCTCTTTCATTAGAGGAGTCATTTCCAAAAGATTTCAAAACTCAAAATTCTTTCTACAATTTACTGTAAGCGTGGGTTTTCTTGTAAAAGTTTTCTAGTAGTATAAATGTATTTATTATTGCATGAATTGATGATTTTAATTTTAAAACCTAGTGAACTCATGTATATGCATATTTCAAAATTTTAGCTTAAGAACTGGTTAATTGAACATGTTTGGGTAAGAAACGAATTTTTGTTTTCTTTTATTGTTTTTTTGTTATATCTAACACCTTAAGAGCCTTATTATGTTTAAATATTGAGAAATAATTATAGTGGATGATTGCTTGTTTAAATGGTGAGTTGCCCATATTGTATAGTTGTTATGATGACTTGCTTTTGAGTGATATGGTCCCCCTGCTTGGTGGCAGTGTTTATTTGATGAAATTGATGTTACTTAGTATATTTTGTCAGTGTGTCTTTGAAGGCCTAGTATATGATATAAAGTGATATTGAATATAAGTCTTGGCTTGTGTTTTGGAATGTTTAATAGTATGTTACGCTTAGATTATGCTTAGGTAATGTATATGACTTCTTAAGCATGTAAAGTGTGTAAATTGATGAATGTAGGACTAAACCATTCATAGAAGCTAATGTTAATGAAATTATATTTATATGCAAGATGTTCTCAGAAGTACTCACACACACTTAAATGAATGGATGAAGTTAAATTTAGTAAATAGAAGGTTTTTACGGTGGACACTCTTCGTGAGTAAAGATGATGTAATTTGTTGAAACCTTACTACATCCTAAGAGATTTATAAGATTGGTCAAAGGATGAATGCCCTTGGTTAGTTGAGATATTTTGACTACCTATCCTTAAACGATAGTTTAAAGTGTTTAGAGTCCGTGGGGGTTATGTCTAGCTCCGAGAGGATATGAAGAAGAGATGGTTACACTTCATGAGTTGAGATGTTGTATTCCAATATACCTGTTAAAATGAACACTCCACATAGGTGTACGCTTTGGAAAAGCCAAGTAAAAGCTTAAAAGAATGGCCTTACTCTTGGCAAGTGAGGATCCATCATTCGATAGGGGTTCATGTCTGGATTTATTGTATAGCTCTCATGGTCTATGTCGGTTAAGCTAACCCTACACAAAAGAACTAATTGAACTAAGCCTTATAAATGAACGTACTACTTAGGGTGGGTGGTGGTATGGGATGCTATCTACTCAATGCACTAGGTAGGGCCTTCCGAAAGGGAAGAGTTGGTGCAAAACCATTTAAAAGAATGTACTACTTAGGGTAGGTGGCTGTATGAGATGCTATCTACTCATTGCACTAAGTAGGAATTCCAATATGGAAGACTTTCGTGGTTACTTTGGTTCCTTTTAATATCTTTCCATTTATTGAGGGGCTTGTTTCTCCCAAGCTGAGTAAGCCAAAATGAGTAGTCTTGAGTATTGATTTTTGTGTGCACTGAAGGAGGCATATGCATACTTCCTTGATGTCATACCTTAGTGATACATATGATAATCCAGAGGCAGGGAAACTCTTATGGAAGAAGAGTTAACTTTCTCTTTCGCTTGGTCTTGGAAGTTCACTCATTTAAAATAGGACAATTCATTTTTAATGCTTTAAGTTATTCATTGTGATGGTTCAAAATAGTTCACTCTAATGGTCTTTTAATTTCACTGTAAGGATTGGATAGTTACTATAGTAGTGCATCTTTTTTGGATAAAATTATGGAAATTCTCCTCTAAGTGTTGAATGATGTTCTTTATGATGTTTTTCTTCTATATCCTTGAATATTTTACTTTAATTTCATGAAATGTTATTTCAGTAAATATGTTCATGTTCGCATTTTTTTTCAGATGCCATACTTAGTACATTATATGTATTAACCACTTACTTTTCTATACTCTATAAGTATAGGTTAAATACTTTTCTGACGATTCGATGGCAAAGCTTGGGAAATTCACTATCTCAAAAGTTTGTATGTCTTCATATATTCGAAGACATAGTCTATAGTTTACTAGATTTATTATAAGACTTAATATGTATTTGATTTCAATGTAAGGTTCGTGTATCTAAGATATTATATGTCGTATCTTAAGTTTAGGTTGTGACAATGAGATTTCTAAAGTATTTATGAAAGATTTCCTTTTTATTAAATTGTTTATGAAAAATTTTAATTCCGCACTACTTTTCATGTCTTATGTAATGATTGATAGTTAAGAGCTTGTACAAGACCCCAATGGGTCAAATACGCCCTTTGACAAAATCAGGGTTCTCACTAACTTCTACGGTGGTGCTTTCGGGTCGTTATATACTTCATATAAGAAAATAAGGTTATGGGAAATAGTTTAGGTTTTAAATGTCTCACAAATAACATCTAGAAGTATTTTGGTCATTGGTGTGAATCGCGACAAATCCATGTACAAGAGGCTATAGGATGATAGAAGTTTCACTTCCTTATCTATTCTAATGTCGTGCCTTAGAGTTGATTCATATAAGATGTCTTTTCTCAACCTATTCTATTTGTGTTTATAGGACATGAAGATGAAGATATCAACAACTAGAAGGGAGGAGGGAGGTATAGCTAATGAGATTGTGCCTCCCTATGTTGACCATGTTCCTATAGTTGGTCTAGAGGAAAATAATGAGGAGGTTCCCCTTCAAGAATGTCAAGTGCCTCCGGAGCCTCAAGTTCCTTCTATGCCTCAATCTTCTTTTTGTTGAAGGAGATATGAATAATGTGCAGTTGTGGAATGCCCTAATGAACTTGACCCAACTGATGATGGCTCAAGCTCATGTCGCCAACAATCACTTTGTTTCCCAAGCTAATGAAGGATATAAGCCCTAACCAAATGCTAGTACTCTCGCTTTTTCAATTCAAGACTTCATGAGGATGAACCCTCCCACTTTTTATGACATTAAAGTGGATGAAGATCCATAAGGTTTAATAGATGAGGTTTTAAAGGTTGAATATAATTTGGGTGTGAACCCAAGGGAGAAAGCGGAGTTAGTTGCTTACCAACTCAAAAATGTGGCTCAAGTGTGTTTTGAGCAATGAAGGATTGAGAGACCCTTAGAGAGAGATCAGGTTGATTTCCCAGAATTCAATGTGGCTTTTCTAGACATTTTCTTTCCCCAAGACAGGAGGGATAACAACATGGTTGAATATATTAACCTTTGCCAAGGATGAATGAGTGTGCAAGACTACTCCCTTAAATTCACCCAACTCTCTAAGTATGACACGACCATGGTAGCCAAGCAAACTGTATGGCAAGGATGAACAAATTTGTGATGGGAGTATCTACCTTGGTGGAGAAAGAGTGTCTTACGGCAATGCTTCTTAATTAGATGGATATCTATAGGCTTATGGTCAATGCACAACAAATTAAGGAGTTCAAAATTAGGGAGATAAGGAAAGAGAGTAAGAGGTGTAGGTCAGATGATTCTAGTCACCAAAATCCTAAGAAGAGGTTCTATCACCAATATTCTTCTATGGGAAACAATGAGAGGACTCCAAAGAACAATTCCCAAGGGGGTGGCCATTTTGTTGAGAGGACTAGGTCCCTACTTGTGTGAAGCAACATTTGGGTAGATGTCTTGTTGGAACGGATGGTTGATTTGCATGTGGTAATAAGGGCCACAGGATAAGGGATATCCCCAACACCAAAGAAAAAGGGAAAAAGGTCAATCAAGCTTGCCTAGATTCTAATTCTACAAAGATGAACTCTTCCTATGGGATGGAAGCTAAGAGGGATAACTAATCTGGATTTTATGGTTTTTGTATGTGTTATCTCTTTATGATTGTTGGTTTTATGATATGAAATGAGTTTATGATGTTTAATATTTAATATGAACATGTCATCTTGATGAATTTCATAACGAATTAATTTTTGGAAATAAATTGCTATGCTTAACAGTGAGCACAGTGAACCTCACTGTAAAACTTTTTATTGTTTTAAAAAAAAAATTCTTGAATTGAAGTTTCAACGTGTGCAAAAGTATTGTATATTATTATGTTAAATGTTAAAGAAGGTAGTTCCTCCATAGGAGAAGATTAAGTGTAAGTTTTTAGAATTTTAAAGTTTGCCAGAGTTGCCTATGTTGCTAAGTGTTTAAAAGTGTGAAATGATCCTCTTTGATAGTTTATTCCTAGATTTTGAGTGTGTCGATCATGATTTTAAATTTTTATGTTGTGTAAAGTGAGTCCTTGTTTTTCTTAAAGTTTTAGTATCATTAGAGGATGAATGTTAATCAATGTGGGGGAGAATAAAACGCCCAAAACAAACTAAGGTGAAATAGAACCTGTAATTGTTTATTGAGTTAATTTTAAGTTAAAAAGAGTTATATTAATTGATGTTTTGTTAAATTTGGAGGTGAAACACCAAATAACGTCCATGACGTTCAAAAGGTGTGTTTAGAATGTACTTGTGTGTCTTGATGTATTTATGTAAGTTTTACGTGTTTGTTTTGGTTGAAACTAATGCGAGGTGTTACTAAGAACTAGAAGATTTAGTTTAGAGGATTAAGGTCTGGGCACGATCCCACGTACGACCCACAAGGGGCCCTAGATAAAGGGCTCACGAATTGGACAAGACTACCAAATACACTGCCCAAAAACTGGAGCAGTCTAGTGGGCATAGGCTCATCGATGACCCATCAACAGGGGACGTAGATCAATAATTTGTGGGAGATCCAGCCCTCCATTAAACTAGACTCTGATTCCATCGATGCCCAGCAGCACGGGCCGGTGACTCATCGACACCCAGTAGCTTGGGTCGTCGATTGACTAATTCCAAAGGCTGTGGAAGTTACTGCCAACTTATGGTGTTTTATGTAAATTCACCCTATGTATTTTACATCCGCAGCTCAATATTTTAATTTTATTAAGTTTATTAAGTTAGTTTTAAACCCTAGACCAACACAAGACCTCTCACATCAAATATTGAAACTCTCTTTCTAAGGAAAACTCTCCCAAAGACACCATGGAAGCTAAGACTCAAGGAGGGAAAGAAGAGATAGTTTGGACGTATTTCTTCCCAACAATAAGTGTGTTTCCTTATATTTCAGGTATGTTATCCATCCTTGAACCCTCTTTCATTCAAGGAATCATTTTTAGAATATTTTAAAAAGAGTTTACAAACTCAAATTCCATATATTTTTTATTGAAAGCATGGGTCTTCTTGTAAAAGTGTTCTAATAGTTCTTAGGTGTTTATTCTTGTATGATTTGATATTTTCATGTTAAAAACCTAATGAACACATATTTATGCATATTTCAAAATTTTAGTTTAAGAAATAAGTTAAATGAGCATGTTTGGTAAGGGATGAACTTTAGTTTTCTTAAGTTATTGTTTTTGTTTATCTACTGCCCTAAGGTCCTTATTATGATGAAATATTTATAAAATGATTATAGTGGATGATGGATTGGTTATATGGTGAGTCCCCTATTATGTATAGTTTTTTTGATGAATTGATTTTGAGTGGTATGGTTTACCTTCTTAGTGGTGGTATTTATTTGATGAACTTGATATTAGTTAGTATGTTTTGTGAATGTGGATTTCAAGGCCTAGTATATGAAATGATTTGATATTGAAGATAAGTCTTCTCTTGTGTTTTGTGAAGTTGAATAGAATGTTAGGCTTACATTATGCCTATGTAAAGTATATGACCTGACAATCATGTAGTGTGTGTAAATTGATGAATGTAGGAATAAAGCATGTATATAAGCTAATATTAATGAAATTATGTTGAGTAAACATATGAGTTTTGAGGCAGACACTCTTCGTGGGTTGAGATGAAGTTTTTAGTAGCAACCTCACTACATCTTAAGTACTTTCTAAGATAGGTTGGAGGATGAATGCTCTTCTTGAGTTGAGATGTTGTGGTCACTATCTATCCTTATCCTATTATTTAAAGTGTTTAGAAACCGTGGGTTTATGTCTAGCACCTAGAAGATACGAAGAGGAGGTGGTTACTCTCGTGAGTTTAAATGTCTTATTTTAATGTACCTCTTGAGATGATTACTCCGTCTTACTCGAGAATGAGTATTAAGTAGCAATATTCTTATCCTTAACTATGCACCCGCATAGGTGTAGATATTTGGAAAGCCTTGTAAAATCTAAAAAGATTGACCTTAATCTAGGCAAGTGAGGATCACTCATCGATAGGGGTTCATGTCGGGACTCAATGTCTAGATCTCATGTTCTATGTCGGTTAAGAAAACCCTACACAAATGAATTTATTAAAATAACTATTTTAAAAGAACGTATTACTTGGGGTAGGTTGTGGTATAGGATGCTATCTACTCATTACACTAGGTAGGACCTTATGAAAGGAAAGACTTGGTGTAAAACCTTTTAAAAAAATGTACCACTTAGGATAGGTGGTTGTATGGGATGCTATCTACTCATTGCACTAAGTTGGCATTCCGAAAGGAAAGACTTTTGGTTTTTGTTAGGTGTCTCTTAATGTCTTGCCATCGATTGAGGGCTTTTTTCTCCTGAGTTGAGTTACCCGAAAGGGGTAGTCTTGAAGATTTCTTTGGTGTGTATTGAAGGAGACATATGAATACTTCCTTCATGTCTAACCTTAGCGAGTCATAGGATAATCCTGAGGTAAGGAAACACTTACGGGAAATGAGTTCACTTTCACTTTCGCTTGGCCTTGGAAGTTCACTCATTTAGAATACGATAACTCATTGTTAATACTTTAAATGATTTATTGTGATGGTTCAAAATAATTCACTGTAATGGTTTTTTAATTTTTTCTGTAAGGTTTTGAATGTTACTCTGAAGTGCCTTTTTTGGATAAAATTATGGACATTCTCCTCTAAATGGTAAATGATGTTTCGTATAATGTTTTGCTTCTATATCCATTAATATTTTACTTAAATTGCATGAAATGTTATTTTACTAAAATTTCCCTTTTTGCATGTTTTTTCATATGCCATACATAGTACAATATTTGTACTAACCCTATACTTTTCTAGCAAGTATAGATTGAAGACTTTTTTGAAGATTCAAAGGCGACTCTTGGGAAATTCACTCTCTCAGGAATTGGTATGTCCTCATATATACAAGGACATATTCTATTGTTTCCTAGCTTTATTATTATGACATATTATGTATTTGATTTCAATGTAAAGGGCCGTGTCTCTAAGATATTATAAGTTGTGTTTTTATTTGTGCTTTTGACGTATAGATTTATTGAGTATTTGTTAAAGATTTCCTTTTTAATAAATTATTCGTGAAATGTTTTAATTCCACACTACTTTTTATATCTTATGTAATGAACGAAAGTTAAGGGCTTGTACAAGACCCTTTGGGGACTTGTACGCCCGATCACAAAACGAGTGATCTTCCTAACTTCTAGGGGGTTCTTTCGGGTCATTACATTTGGACTTCACCTCAACTATAAAAGACGATTCGGAGTTATGATTGACCATAAAATCACAATTTGGAGAATCATCAAATCTCACACAAAACGAACCAACCTATGGACATATTTATTAAGGCCTTTCTTGGATTCTTTTACATTATATACACTACCCATGTACATACAACTTAGAGCATCCGCAACCACATTGGGATTGCCGGGGTGGTAGAAAACACTCACGTCATAATTTTTCAAAACCTCTAACCACCTTCATAGTCAGAGATTCAACTTCTTCTTAATAAACATATATTGAAGAATCTTGTGCTAGGTGTACACATCAACATGGGTATGATACAAGTAATGCATCAATATTTTCAAGGAAAATACCATGGTCGGTAACTCAAGATCATTAGTTGGATAATTCTTCTCATGCACCTTAAGTTGTCTAGAGGAATAGGATAGTACATTCCCTTGTTGAATAAGCACACATCTACTGACCACTAAGGAAGAATCACAATAAACAACGAGACCTTAGTACGCTCTGATAGAGTCAACACGAAGTGGAAGAAAGCATATCTTTCAATATTTGGAAGTTTCTTTCACATGCATCCGACAACTCAAATTTCATATTATTTTTTGTCAAAGTAGTCAAGGGAGACACAATGGATAAAAAACCATCGACAAACCTCGTATTATAACCCGCTAAGACCAAAAAACTCTTAAAGTCGGTTGGAGTCAATCGTCTAGGAAAAAATTTTACAACCTCTGTTACCTTGGATCAACCTCAACTCCCTCACTAGAGATGATATGGCCAAGATACTCCACCGACCTCAACCAAAACTAACTTTTTCTATACATTGAAAATAGTTGGGTCTTCTTCAGCACTTGTTACACAACCTTCAAATGGTCCATGTTTTCACCCATTTTTTTCGAGTATACCAAGAAATGGTCAATAAATACAATGAAAATGAATAGAGGTAAATTCGCAACACCCTACTCATGATATCCATAAATGTCGTCGGGGAATTCTTTAGACCCAATGACTAAGAACTCATAGTGACCATATTTTTTCTTAAATGTCATTTTTTGTATATCCTTACCTCTAACTCTATGTTATTGATAACCTAATCTAAAGTCAATATTAGAAAAGCGACTTGCCCTTGGAGTTTATAAAACAAGTCCTCGATCCAAGGGAGAGGATATTTCTTCATAATTGTGGCTTTATTCAGTTGGCGATAATCAATGCACATTGTATGGGACCCATCCTTCTTCTTCAAAAATAAATATTGAAGCACCCCTTATATATATACTAGGTCTAATGAAGCTTTATATAGTATAACTTTGAGTTTAGCCTTCAATCTTTAAATTTGGCTGGAGCCATACCAAAATGAGAAATTGAAATGTGATTGGTTTTCAGTAGCAAGTCAATACCGAAAAAAATTTCCCTTACTGGAGGGCTTCTGAGAAGATCATTTGGAAAGAACTATAGAAATTTTATTACTACAGGGACTAACTCAATAGGAGTATTTTCATAATCTAAATCATTGTACCTTACATTGGTATACAGAGACCATTTTGAGATCATTTTACAAGCCCTAAGAAAAGAGATAATATGACCTCCAGGAATAGAATACCCCCCTCCGTTAAACTCTTAAACAGATTCATTTGGAAAATTGAACTTCATAATTTAAGTCCTACAATAAATGGAAACAAAAAAACGACGCAACAAGTCCATCCTCAAAATGACATAAAAATTTAGTATATCAAGTTCTATCAATTCAACTGGAGCAACTCTATTGGAAAATATTATTGGAAAATTTAAATAAACATTCTTTGCAACCTCCATCTCACCTACTAGGTCATAACCATGAAAGGTTCTTTTATAATATCTGACAACATATAAAACTTTTTAGATATCAAGAGAGTAACAAAGTATAATGTAGAACCCGGATCAAGTAATGCATATACATCAATAGAGAAGACTTGTAACATATCGTTCACCACATTGGGAGAACTCTCTTGTTCACCCTTAGATCGAAGTGCGTAAAAGTGATTCTTCTTTTGAGGATGCACAATAGAACCACTAGCTTGAGCTTGCTCACTTCCCTAGCCTTGGCCCTTCACATTGGGGCAATCCCTAACCATGTGGCCACTCTTGCCACACCCAAAGAAATTGTCATTCCCAATGAGATAACCACAATAATACTTCTTACGACACTTTCCACAAGTTGGCTTTTTTCTTGGTGACCTAGTACCTCTTCCCTTTTGAGACATAGGGTTAGACACCCTATAATCAGGAGCCTAGGGAAATTTGGCAGGAACATGATTAGAAAATAACTTCATGAACCTAGGATTGTCTTGGATAACAATCCTACCCTTTGATGAACCACCGTCAAAATACCTTACCCACTTTCCATCCCTACTCTTTACCTTAACCGTAGTCTCTTCTACTTATTGAGGATAGACACTGAGACGAGAAATGTTCATTTTTTCAGTAACATATTTGAATTACATTCTTCTTTCAAGTAATTTTACACTCTAGTCTCAAAGTTACTCATTTCATTTCAATGGTCAAAAACCAAAGAATGGATATAATTTTACAATTTAGTAAATTCCAAAGAGAAGTTAAGTGCACTTATACCTCCTTGATGAAGGTTCATGAATTCTACCATTTTGCATTCCCTCTTCTCCCTAGGAAAAAAACTATAAAGAAAATCCTTCTATAAAAACTCCCATTCAAGCGTTCCACCATTTAAGGGCCTATGGTCTCTTTATTGGACGTACCAAGTTCGGGGCATATTTTAAAGTTTATAAGTTGCCAACTCGATCTTTTCGCTTGTAGTCAACACCATAGTGTAGAAGACCTTGTAAGTTTCATCAATTAATTATTGGGGGTCTACCTTAACGTTGGACCCATTGGAAGTAGGGGGATTCATCCTTGTAAAATCCTTCAAATGGGAGGCGTGGTGCAAACATGTTATTTTCCGCGGGGACCATCTCCTTTTTAGCTTGGGTTGTCATGGTTTGTGCTGAGTGCGAACGACTTGTGTTTTTCGAGTAATGTCATCGGCTATTTGAAGAAAGGCTGCCCTCATGTCTCCATCCGTCAAAGGTGGAGGATTGACCATATATTGATAGCCATTAGCAACGTTTTGAAGAGTTGGGACTTGATTTCCTCGGGGAGGAACTCCCGCATTGGCAATATCTTCATCGAGTCTTTAAGCGGCTCTTTTTTGAGAATTCATTTCCTATAATAATAATAAAAGGATAAGATGCTAAGGGCACATAGAGTCAAGACTCTCGAGGCACGATATTGATTTCCAAGAAATAGAGAATTTCTTAAGCATCATATATTGTATCATATTAATAAGTGTGGCGCGCTCCACAATTATTAATAAGAATTTACACGTTATTAAGTGAGACATCGAATCTAAAGATATTCAACCTCATGCTCTCATACCAGGATTGACACATTCAAGGTGCACCACCTAGACGTTACCGGTGTCGTCGTCTTCGAAGGGGACTAAGATAATTCTATTAGCTTACAACATTACATTCATAGAGTAAAAATGTGTACTATTAAAAACATTCATTTCTGTTAATTTTGAGTTTTACCTAGACCTGTCGCATAAATATATTATATTAATTTTTATTATACATAAACCCTTCATATAAGAAAATTACATCGTCTTCTACTATTATTGTCCACACACACGGACACGCGCGTGCACGTGCGCACACACACACAAATATATATATATATATACATATATATATACACACACATATATATATATGTATATATATATATACACACACACACATATATATATATGTATATATATCTATATATAAATAAGATATAACAAATCTTTAAACGGATTTCTCATCTCATAACCATCTAAAAAAGACAATAACAATTGGACATACTCCATACATTAATACAATAAGAGCCACATATAGGCTATACAATCTTTCGTACTCTAAATAAAGGACATTAACATATTGTCTTTAAGACTAATCAATCTTCGAAGCTAGGAAATAACATTGTTCTCGAAGTGGTGAGGACCTACCAAACTTGGAGAATGAGAATCCATGTCTTCTTCAAATGTCGTCAGAAGACCTTCAACGACCGGAACGTAATATTTTGGAGAAAAGTGAGAAAATGGCGTTAGCACATTACATATACTAAGTATAGGATCATATGCACACATAACATAAAATAATTGTAAAATGAGACTTTTCATTAAACCATGTAATTTACTTTTAAAAGCATTATGAACCATCATTAACTCTACTAGTTCAATGACTAAGTAAAACCCTATAACCTTACTTAATCAAGTAAACCTCACAAGAACCATAAACAATGTCCAACTTAACATAGTATATCGGTAAGAGTACATAACATCATACTTTAGGAATAGGGACAAAACACATATTCACAAGTGAAACCAATATCATATAGTTTCCTCAACAGGTAATATTATCAAATACAAATGATTTACATTTATAAGAATATACATACATTACAACATCCACCTAATTCTTCCCTGAACGCTAACTAGTGCAATATATAGGTACAGTCCCATACAACTACAAAGATTAAGCTAAGCCCCTTAGGTAATCCTAGTTATAGTTCATTCCATTACTTCATTTTACCTTTAGGAAACATCATGCCTTAAAAGACGTAGACAACTTGAGCTAATGTGGAATTTTGTGTGGAACCTTACACCAAAATAAGGCGAAGTACATGTCTAGGTAGTACCAGAACATGACACAACTTCTATGTGGATCCTCTTGCTAGTATTCCTATTAGGGCAACATAGTTCAAGATCTAGGAGATGTAGTTGAAATCCTTTTTATGCTACAT